GGGCCAGCCATGGTGTGCGACAAGTGTGAGTGCGCGTCCTGCCCCTCCGGCCCCGGCCCGAGCTGCTTCCCTCTGGCTTGTCCTTCCCCCCCCCCAGGGCTTTGTCTGCGCGCGGAATGGAGCGTAGCTCAGATGTTTACCTTTGTGATGTTTCCTTACGCAGGTGAGAAGAAGCTCGGTACGGTGATCACCCCCGATACGTGGAAGGATGGTGCCAGAAATACTACAGGTAAACCTCGGTGGAGCTTAACCCTTGTTTTCGAGGTATCGTAAATCCGGTTGGTTGGCAGCTGTCCTGTCATCTTAAGGCTGTGCGCTGGTTTCGGCTGGGATGGGGGTAATGTCTTCCACAGGGCTGCGTTTGGATTCGGAGTGAGGATAATGTTGATAACACACTGGTTACAAGAGGAGACGGAGGGGAAACCTCATCACTGTATACAACTTCATCGTGAGGAGAACTGGAGGGGCAGGCACTGATCGCCTCTCTGGTGACCAGTGACAGGACCCAAGGGAATGGTCTCAGGTTGTGTCAGGGGAGGTTTAGGCTGGGTATCAGAAAATGGTTCTTCACCCAGAGGGTGATCAGACACCCTGAGAATGGAACCTTCACTCAGAGGGTGGAACAGGCTCCCCAGGGCAGTGGTCACAGCATCAAGCCTGACAGAGTTCGAGAGGCATTTGGACAATGCTCTCAGGCACATGGTGTGGTTCCCAGGGATGTCCTGCACAGGGCCAGGAGTTGGACTAGATGATCCTCAAGGGTCCCTTCCAACTCTGATTATTCTGTTATTCTGTGTTTTGGTTTCTGCTCGCTTAAATCAAAGATGGTTTTTTTCTCACGTCTCATGCTCTGCCAGTAAGAAGGTACACGAAAGAAAGTGGGAGGCAGCACAGCTGGGACAGGTGACTTGAACTGGCCAAAGGGTTATTTCACACCCAGTATATAAGCTGGGAGAGGGAGGGAATTCCCCAGAGGGCAGGCTGATCTGGGCTTAGAAACAGGGTCTGGCATCAGTTCACAGGTGATGAGCAATTGTATTGTGCATCACTTGTTTTGTTTTGTTGGTTTTTGGTTTCTCTTTCTCTTTTTATTATCCATTAGTATTTTACCTCGTTCTCTTCTCAATTATTAAACTGTATATATAACTTCTCCTCCCCATTCCACGAGGGTGGAGGAAGAGGGGAGGAGAGAGTGTGAGTGGCTGCGTGGTTCTTGGCTGCTGGCTGGGGTTAAACCACGCCAGGCTGACATGCTGAATCACTAATCAAGTTAAATCTTAACTCATGTAGTGTCCCTCCCATGCTGATTTAATGCATTGGGAATTTATGTACCCAGAACTTTGGTATTGAACTTGTCTCTGTGGCTGTTTTTTACTTCCTGTATGGAACAGTGATGCACAAACAGAGTATTTAAACAGAGTGTAAAGTCTCCTGTTGTCCTGTCTCTTAATGCTACGCTGTATGTTTTATCTCTCTTTGTGACCTTGTTTGTGTGTGTGTAAAAGCTGTAAACTGAGCTTTTTAAAGTATGCTTGGAACTGGGAAACTTACTCGTTTGTGGGTTTATTCTTTTTTATAGAAAGCGGTGGCCGCAAATTAAATGAAAACAAGGCATTGACCTCAAAGAAGGCAAGGTTAGTATTTAATACTGATTTTAGCTAAAAAGATCCCTTAGCAAACTAAGTCCTGTTTCTTGCATATCTGGGCAACTAATTGAAGCCTGTCCAAAACACACAAATAATTGTGGAGATTATGATACTTGATTAGTTGGTAAAAATATTTCATGGGTGCTTTCTGCTCAGTCATAAAGCAGAACATGAAATCATCATCAAAATCATCATTTTAATCATAAAATACTTGTGAGCAAGTATTTCACTTCAGTTCTTACTGGAACTGCTAGGGCTTGATGCTTTTGTAGGAGAGAAGCTGAGAAGGCTTATTTTCTATGCTAAGATTGCCAGAATAATCTCTTGAGCATTTCCTTGATATCTGAGGGACTCTTTGTGATACAAAGGGTCAAGATGCTGCTGGAAGGTGTTTTAAGTTCAAAGACATGTAGCATCTTAATAAAAATGCACATTTTTTTCACAGGATGATTTGGGTTTGTCTGTAATGCAAGAAATCTCTTAATAGGGCAAGTGGGAGCTTTTCTGTTTACTTTGTGCAGCCTATTAGAAATAATCCTTGTATGACCCTTAATTCTAGCTTTTGCCCTCTGGTATAGACATTTTAGGATGAGGCAGGAGAAATACTTCATTTCAAGGTGTATGAATAAAATACTTTTCCTTTTTTTCCAGGTTTGATCCTTATGGAAAGAACAAATTTGCAATATGCCGGATTTGTAAGAGTTCTGTCCATCAGCCAGGGTCTCACTATTGTCAAGGATGTGCCTATAAAAAAGGTGGGTTTCACTGACTGGAAAATACCCCAGTTTGGTTTGAAGCAAGAGAGGAAGTGGAACAGCTGAATTTGTTTGGCCTCACAAAGAGTAGGCTAAGATGAGATTTAATCACTGTCTTCATCAACTCACAGGAAGACAGAGAACATGGAGTCAGACTCTTCTGAGGTGCACAGTAATAGACTAAGAAATAATATACATAGGTTAGAATGTGGAAAATTCCAATTATGTACAAGGAAAGCAATTTTTCAGTGTGAGTGATCAAATACTTAGTAACGGGTACCACCAGAGGTTGTGAAATCTCTACAGAAGACATGCAGAGCTTGACTTGAAAAGCCCTGACCCAACCTCTTCCAAGTTGGCAGTTTTGAGTGGGGCAGGAGCAGGACTAGAGGCTGCTGGAGATTCCTTCCAGCCTCTGTGATTCTGCTCTTTTAGAATGTTTCTGTTATCTGAAGCAGTAGGTTGGGAAGAATAAGCTTAATCTTGGTAATTGCATAGAAAACTATCATCTAGATTTTTCTTCGTTTAAAAAAGAAAATCAGATTTTGTAAAACTCAATTGCTTGTTACGATCCCACTTCTGCTTCCTTCTCTCCCCTTTTTATAATACCTAAATCTAAAACTAAATAGTGTCCCCCCCAAAAAAAAACCAAAAAACCCACACCCAAACCAAAACCCAAACACCCTAGACCCACCCACCCCCACCGCCCGGAAAAACAACCCACGAAACAACCAAAAATCCAACTTTTAATCTTGGTAAATGAATAGGTTAGTTCAATAAAAGTAGAATACCTGGGAAATAAAAGGCAAAGAGGTAAAAATCACTTGCTTTTCCAGCTCGTTTTAGAAAGTGTCTGTGAAGGCAAATCATACTCATGGTTGTCTGTGAGCCTTCACCTATTCATCCTTTCAGTGGCTTTTATTCACCCTTTTTTATTCACCCTTTCAGCCATTGAAAGGTTTATTTTTCTAAAAGGAGGACCTGGTCCTCTTGTGAACATGCTTGATGCATTACACGTCAAGCTGCTCTTAAAGTGAAACTGAAAACTAAAAATATAAACACCATTCCTGGAGCAAGATATTGCATGGTGCAGTACATAATACACAAAATCTTTCTGTACTTATGAGTCATGTGTGAAATTCTTCTTATAACTGGAAGCTTTCTAGCTCCCTTATTCATAACAAGACATCAGTGTTGTTAAAAACTGTTCAAAAATTGCTGAGGCAAAAAGTAATCAATTCCAAGCAAATTTGATGGAGACCCTTAAAGATATAAAACTTTTATTAGTCTTGTGATTTTGAGTAGGTGAAGAGAAAGAGTTCAAACATGTAATTCCTGGATGGGAAAAAACCCATCATGAACTCAGTTACATGATTTAATACCAAGGAATCCATATAGCACACAGATATGAGGTGAAGCAATTTTCAGAGGTAGAGCTGCAGCTAGCCAGTGGTAAATTTTGTTTATGAAATGAATTGTTCAGTAAATGTGTGCTGTGTGAGTCAGTGGTTTAGCAGCCTGCTGTAGGAGGGCTGCCTTTTCTAGTTGCTAGATGCTCACCAGATGGCTGCCTGAATCCCATATGGCAGAACCTTGTTCTCTTTTGTAAATTTATGGCTGGTGTGTGTGGGTTTCAGTATTTCATCTTTGTCTGCTTGTGTATCCTTCCAGGCTGAATCTGTCTTCTTCATAAAATCCAGAACTCTCTTTAGTGTTTTGAAGTACTAAAACACTTTAGTAAAAGCACTTTAGGTTCTAGTTCTGACCATCATGTGGTTGTGCCATGTTTCTTGAAGGAAATGCAGTCAGTCATATGGCTTAGTGCTTCAGCTGTTGCATATATCCCTGAAACTGAGAGGCAATCTAAAGTTAATTATTCCTCAGTTTAGACCTGAAGGGAACATTTTGTGGGCTGAATTTTGCATTCCAAAGTAAATCATGTGGCATGTTCCCTGCTCTTCTCTTTCCTAATGGACTCCTATGTGTCCAGTCACATGATGTTGGCATATAAAAGCACATTATTTGGAGAGAGTTAACAGGAATAGTTGCCACTTGACATTTTTTCTCTGCTGATGAATGGTCATGTAAAACGAGATGTTGCCCTACCAGACAAAAGATTAACACCTTTCTACTTTGAAAGAAGAGGGAACATTGAGACAACCTGCCCCTCTGCCCCTGCCAGACTTGCATACTTTTTGCTGCCCTACTCTTTTGGCTTGACACTCTTTGGGTTCAGGACAAAGTCCTCTGGCACATCAGTGGTCACCTTCACTTCGGCTCTCAAGTATTCTTGGTGTCCATTGTTTCTCACTCCTACGCTATAAATACCTTCATTCTAGGATAACATGTTCTCAACTTTCTTAGTTGCATGAAGCTCCCCACCTGTTAATGTCCCATTTAGCAGTGACTTTGTTGTGACTCTGTTTTCTTAGCCTTGCTACTTTCTATCCATCTCAGGCCTCAGTTTGGCTACAGTACTTAAAAAGTTTAATAATACACCATTTTTACCCGTTTGCCAGATGTGAGCCTTTCTTGGCTCTTTTCCAGTATTCCAGCAAATTACAGAGGCTTCGGGCAGTGTGGTGAATTGTAATGCTCTCAAAATAGAGCTTATATTTTTAAGTGCCAGTATTATACATATGCTGCAAATAGTAATTTGTATTTGAAGTCATAATATTGCTTCTAAATTTGCAATATCTGTTGAGAAAATGCACTGATAGATTGCCAGTGAGAGCTCATGTGAACAGTTTTTTAAAAACAGTTTTTATAAAAACGTAGCAAATATGTTTTCTAAGAAAGACTTTAATGATTGAATATGAGCCAGCAGTGTGCCCAGGTGGCCAAGAAGGCCAGTGGCATCCTGGCCTGTATCAGAAACAGGGTGGCCAGCAGGACTAGGGAAGTGATTGTTCCTTTGCACTCAGCACTGGTGGTGCCACACCTTGCGTACTGTATCCAGTTCTGGGCCCCAAGGAGGCTGGAGCATGTCCAGAGAAGAGCAGCAAAGCTGGTGAAGGGTCTGGAACACAAGTCCTATGAGGAGAGGCTAAGGTGACTGGGCTTGTTTAGTGTTGAGTTGGTTCAGGGCTGAACTTACCACTGTCTACAACTATCTGAAAGGAGGTTGTAGCCAGGTGGGGATCAGTGTCTTCTCCCAGGCAACTAGTGACAGGATCAGAGGACAAAGCCTCAAAGCTGCACCAGGGAGGTTTAGGTTTGACATTAGGAAGAATTTCTTCACAGAAAGGGTGATTAGACACTGGAATGTGCTACCCAGGTAGGGGGTGGAATCACCATCCCTGGAGGTGTGAGGAGAGACTGGATGTGGCACTTAGTGCCATGGTCTAGTTGACATGGTGATGTTAGATCATAGGTTGGACTTGGTGATGTCAGAGGTCTTTTCCAAGGTAATTGATTCTGTGATTTTAAAATAATTTACACATCTTTTGTGTCCTTATAGGCATCTGTGCCATGTGCGGCAAGAAGGTCTTGGATACAAAGAACTACAAGCAAACTTCTGTCTAATTGTATTGACAAGTCTTTTTATGAACTTCAACTTTTGTGACTTTGTACAGTAACTTTTCTCTAAAAGAATTTGTGAATATTGCTTTCTGGAAGATAATGCATTTACTTGGAATGAGATGAGAGATAAAGACAGCCTGATTGTTTGCCTAAAAATGTACGTAATTTTTGGTTCTTGTTGGTTTAGCACTAATGTTAACTGATATTTGAAGGTAATGGTTTGTAGCAAATGATGCAGTTCAAAGGGAATGAGAAGATGTATAGGTTGAAACTATGTTAACATCATAACACAGATCTTTGAGATGAACATTTTTATTCTTTTGGTCTATCACAAGTCTTCTGCTTGTCTCAGTAATATTTTGTAGCTGTAAAAAATATGAGCTTGTATCATAAAGTATCTTAATTTAGCTCTATACCTGTAAGTATTTATAATTACTCCCAGCCCAAACTATTACATCCTTGCTTTCCAGATTTTAATGCTATTGTCCTTTTGAATTTTGTTTCTGCCTACAGTATGGTTGGTTAAATCACAGATTATTAAACTACTGAAGTCTAGTGTGTTATCCTGCTAGTTCTTTCTTTGGCATTGTCATGGTTTAACCCCAGCCAGCAGCCAAGCCCCACACAGCCACTTACTTGCTCTCCCCCAGTAGGATCAGGGACAGAATGGGAAGGGTAAAAGCTAGAAAACTCATGGGTTGAGATAAAGACAGTTTAATAGGAAAAGCAAAAGCCATGCACACAGCCAAAGCAAAACAAGGAATTAATTAACTGGTTCCTCTGGACGGGCAGGTGTTCAGCCATCTCCAGGAGAGCAGAGGCCCCATCATGTGTAATAGTTACATAGGAAGACAAATGTCATCACTGTAAACATCACTTTCCTCCTTTTTCCCCCCACTTTATATACTGAGCATGATGTCATATGGTATGGAATATCCCTTGGGTCAGTTTGGGTCATCTGTTGCTCCTGTGTCTCTCAAGCTCCCAGTCTCCTGGCCTGCACGGCACTATGAAAAGCAGAAAAGGCCTTGGCTCTGTCTAAGCTCTGCTCAGCAACAACAAAGACATCTCTATATTATTGACCCTGTGTTCAGCACAAATCCAAAACACAGCCCCATGCTAACCATTGTGAATAAAATTAACTCTACCCCAGTCAAAACCAGCACAGGCATTAAAACTGATCAGCTATTCCTTTGTTAGCCTCCAAGGAGGCTTTACATATGGCATCTGGTGGCCTAAGGCAATAAAATAATGAGCATCAATTTCTAAATGTCTCAGTCTTAGCATTTCCTAATTTAGCCTGGCTTTTAAATAATTGGTTTGCCACTGGCTTGTGAATTCTGTGATGTAATTGCTTATATACATGTCAAATTTGAAAGATCAAAGCAGGCTGCCTTCTCTTTGGCACTGGTTTGATAAAAGACTTGAAGTAAGCCTCTCAGAACATGAAAGACCAAGTGTGGCTCTGCAGTTCTTTTGTCCTTTGCTTAGTTTCTACATAAGAAAGCAATTTCTGATATGGAGCATAGTAAGTGTTCACTGTGCATACATTTTAAGTGAAAAGAATGGTACTCTTAATTCATGATGCAGTTTTAACCAGACCTATGTAAGTGTTTACTTCTCCCAGCAACTTCCTCTTGGCAGTCTCATGATTTTGCAATTTTCAACTAAACCAGAAAAACTATCAATAGGAATTTCCCTATAAATAGAAACTCTGCTTTAGGTTTCCTTTTGTTCTTTTGCATGACTAATGGAAACTGAAAAATTGCAGTTTTTAATATGTGATAGTGGCAGAAAATGAAGAATACTGGGGATATAGTTATTCTTTGCACTTAGCTCCTGCCATGCTGTAATTCTGCTGCAAGCAGCCCTCTAAAGGGTATTGTCTGACATTCTCTGTCACCCATAACTACCCATTATTGAGCATTTGTCACCAAAGTTGCTTGTTCCAAATGTGTTAGCTCCCTGCAATTACTAAAGGGGTAATTCTCAACATTTTATATTTACTAAGAAGCTTTGTCAGGATAGTAGAATGAGCTAGGTCTCCCAAAAGAAGAGAGGAATGCTGCTGCTTTTTATTTTAAAAGCTTCACCTATTGTAACGAATGGAGGTACATGGATTAGCTAGCTGCTGATAGCTTGGTGGTGGCCACTTGTTTCCAAACACGTCAAGGAAATCCACTCTTAGCTAATATCTCTTATGACACATCCTTTGTATGGATGAAAAGAAAATGTCTATGATTGGCTTCAAGTTTTGCAGCAAGGGCTTGTCAGGAGTGTGTGTGACAATTTCAGATGGCAGATTCTCCGATACACTCTGAACTCTTCACCCTTTATGGGTGTGTGCAGTAAGACTGATTGATTTTCGCTGTTCTGTGAATAAAACTTGTTTTATTGTCATCCTAAAACTGGCCAGTATCTCTATTTCAAAAGCATGACATTGTAATTCTTGAATATATGATATGAATTGAATGTGTCACAGAATCACAAAATAATCGGAGTTGGAAGAGACCCTTGAGGATCATCTAGTCCAGCTCCTGGCCCTGCACAGGACATCCCCAAGAATCACACCATGTGCCTGAGAGCATTGTCCAAACACCTCTTGAACTCTGTCAGGCTTGGTGCTGTGACCACTTCCCTGGGGAGCTGTTCCATTGCTCAACCACCCTCTGGGTGAAGAACCATTTTCTAATATCCAGCCTAAACCTCCTCTGACTCAACTTCAGACCATTCCCTTGGGTCCTGTCACTGGCTGCCAGGGAGAAGAGGTCAGTGCCTGCCCCTCCACTTCCTTTCATGAGGAAGTTGTATACAGTGATGAGGTGTCCCTGCAGTCTCTGCTTCTCCAGGCTGAACAGATCAAGTGACCTCAGTCTCTCTTCATATGGCTTCCCCTCAAGACCCTTTACCATCTTCATTGCCTCCTTTGGACACTCTCCAAGAACTTACTATCTTTCTTATATTGTGGTGCCCAAAACTGCACACAATATTCAAGGTGAGGCTGGACAAGTGCAGAGTAGAGCAGGACAGTCACCTCCCTCAACCAGCTGGCAATGCCCTGTCTGATGCACCCCAGGACACAGTTGTCCCTCCTGGCTGCCAGGGCACACTGTTGACTCATATTCAACTTGTGATCAACAAGGACCCCCAGGTCCCTTTCTATGGCACTTTCCAGTGTCTCATTCTCCAGACTGTATGTAGAGCAATATTCATTGCACTCTTTAAATACTGGCACAGTATGAACTCTTGCCTCATTTTGTAATGATTTAAGATCAACAGGGATTTAAATAATATGATACTTTGTTCATAATTATTTTGAAAATTGAGCTTTTATGCACCTGTATCCTGTTACTGGACAGCTGCTCTTGCATGTTAGAATACATTTTTATTGTTAAAGAAGGATGGGGTTTGTTAGGCTTTTCTTTAATTGTGGATACAGTGCTTTGTTTTTCTAGTGATTTGTACATGCTCAGGATCTTCCATCTGTAGCTCTCAAAGCTTCTTAACCTTGTGAGAGTTTCAGTTCTCAACATCTGTAAAATTTGCCAATATAACAGTCAGCATTCAAAAAAAGATTATTTTCAAAGCATTGTTTTGGAGTCTCATTGCTATATATTTAGATCACCAGCCATCTCCTGAACCTCTGAGATGCGCTGCAGTTAAAGGCAATCGTGGCAAAGAAGCACTTAAACGTAGCTTTTAAGTTTATATACACCTTCAGTATAATTGAATTGTCATATAAAAGCATACTGTTGATACTAAAAATGTTTTGTTAGCATGGGATGCCTTTCCTTAGGCATTATGCAGTGAAAAACAAAAGAAAATTTGCAATGGAAGGTTGCCAATTTTGTTTAATGTACTGAGAAGGACACAGTAATGTTCCCAGATGATCAGCATGTCCTCTAAATCACAGGTTACATAAGAGATTTGTGCTGCCAAATTTAGTGGGATTAGAATTTTCCTCAGTACTGCTGAATTCCTATACTGTCCTTGCTGTTCCTGCATATTCGTTGGCCAGAGCTATTACTGAGCTAAGTATAAGCAACGTTTTGGTGCAGATTATTGAGAGAAAAGAACAGATTAGCTGTTACTGTGCCTGTAGCAGTCAATCAGGTGAAAATTGAACAGGAACTGTTGAAGGGTCCTTGTATCGGGGTGTTCTCACATTCTTCCCCAAGTTGTTTTGGTTTGGTTTTTTAACCCTGCTCTTCCTGCTGCAGAAGCTGGAGAAGGGACCATCCAAGGATAGTCACTTGGCAATACTCTGTTTCAAAGCATTAGGACTATTTTAACTGTTTACTTGAAGGAATGAGGTGGGGTTTTTTCCTCTCGTTTTTTTTTATCTCTCTTGGTTTTATTCTGTTCCTTCATCATCAGAAGAATAGCAAGAAAGACTTTGTCCTATATACAGGGATGTCACTTACTGCTTTGTATTCAGTTTTTCTTGAATATGGCCCAGACTTGCACCAAAATCTTTTACATAGCAAAATAATGTATGTGCAAGTTTCAGATGGTAAGTCTGTTGCAGCTACATGCTTGTTCTGGTATCACTCCTGTCATCAGCCCATCTCTCTGCAGTGCCTCAGATTGCACAAATCTTCCAGTTCTGTACTAGCTGAGCATTGTTCCATCCAGAGATGCTTAGCCTTGATAGGGCCTCTATACTTAGAATAAGATTCTGAAGCTAATGAAGTCTTTAAAAGAACCCTTGACAGGTCATTGTTTTTCCTGGATTGAAACTGGGCTTCCTGATCTCATGTAAGTATATATGGTCTAAAGATGAACCCCCTTCTGTCATTTCCTTTGGATGGTGGAGAATCCAAGAGCAGGTTTTGGGATGATACTGCCCAGTCACTGACTTAGCAGTTGCTTAGCAGAACAATCTACTCAGTGAGATCAGAATGGGATCATGACTGTGTATCTTTTGGCTCACAATTTCTTCCCAGATCACTGGTTTAGAAAAAAAGAATAGATGTGTCTGGGTGCAAAATGGAATTAATACCAGTGACAGGAAAACTCACCCTGAATATCTTGAGAGAATGAACACATTTCTGCATCATAGCTGAGGTTTGCTATTAAGCAAAAATATTTTGGGTCTCTCAATCAGCAGAGCTGGTTGGACAATCTGAGAAGGCATGATGAGAGTCCTTACAAAGAACAGAGCCAAATGTTTCTTCTAGTGAGGATTATAGATGTGCCTCACGTGAAGATCAGTTGGTTTCGAATGGCTTGTCTTCCTCCCAGACATGTGCTTTTATGGAAGAAGTTATCATCTGAAATTCATCAGAAACTGCTTTTTCATCAGCTTTTATGGGTGGGGGCCATAGTTCACTTTGCAGAACTTGCATGAGGTATGCATGTGTTCATCATGTCTGGCTAATGACTGCAGA